ATATATATATATATATATATATATATATATATATAAAGGCATTTTAAACCCTTCCCACACTCTTGCAATATTTTAAACAATGTTTCTAAACTCTAAACGCTTTAAAAGAGCACAGAATGTCATGCTTTCAGCTCCATGCCTCCTCTCAGCTATGGCTGCACTGGGTCACCTGCAAGCGTTCTTGGCCACGCCCACTTCTGCACTCTGAACAGAGAACAGCTGATCAGCTGCAGCAGGAAGTTTTTCCTGCAGCATGGGCTGGAAGCTTTTTCTGCAGCTCTGGGCTGCACAGAGCAGCAGGTGCTAAATAATTTATTTTAAATAAAAAGTCCATGCCGATCGTGCAGCTCATCCATCAATCAGCCAAGTGTGTGCCATGTCCAATCTTGTTTTGAAAAACCGCAATAGAGCGAGTCCGCGATAAACGAACCGCAAAACAGCGAGGGACTACTGTACTAGCAAAGAAAGGTACCGTAACTGAAAAGATTAAAAAATCTGATATTAGAAGAGGCTGAAAATAACCTAAAAATCTGAAATGACCTAAAACATAGCTGAAAAAAGAAGCAAAAAAACCTGAAATCCACATAAAAATAGCTTAAGTCTGAAAAGAGCTGAAAGAAGCTGAATCAGAACCAAAGCTGAAATGAGCAGTGAGTGGTTGTAAACAGCTCAAAGGGTTTTGCGAATGTGAAGAGCTCCATTCATTTTCTATTAAAAAAACATGGTTGACAGACAAAGCTAAATATTTCAAAAAGTAAAAATTGCACAAATACCACAAGTCAGAGCAGGAATGTCCTGAATGAGCCAAATGTTTTGATGTATGAATAGAACAAACATCAAGTTACGTGCCAGGAAGTAAAATGGATCGCAACAGTAGGAATGCTTTAGAAACACAGACTACAAATAGGTTCTGCCTCAAGTGGAGGAGTTCAAGTATCTTTTGTTCACGACTGAGGGAAGAAGGAAGCGTGAGATTGACAGATGGATTGGTGCAGCATGTGCAGTATTGCGGACTCTGTATCGGTCCGTTGTGGTGAAGAGGGAGCTGAGCTGTAAGGGGAAGCTCTCTGTTTACCGTCCGGTCTACGTTCCTACCCTCACCTATGGTCATGAGCTCTGGTAAGGATGCATCCTGGGCGCCTGATTGGGAGGAGACCCTGAGGAAGACCCAGGACACGCAGGAGAGACTACGTCTTTCGGTTGGCCTGGGAACGCCTTGGAATCCTCCCAGAGAAGCTGGAAGAGGTGGCTGTGGGAAGAGGTGGCTGTGGAAAGAGATGTCTGGGCCTCCCTGCTCAAGCTGATGCCCCCATGACCCAACTTTGGAACAAGTGGAAGATAATGGATGGATAGAGACTACAAGTAGAATGATGAAAACAGAAAGAACAAAGAATACCCTTTTTTCTTCCAGCTCTGCCTGTACAGAATTATAATCTGCTGTCTTTTCCTCCAGAGTAACCAACTGGACCTGCAGGTCTTTCAGCTGCTGTTGAAGTCTGATCGTGTCACTGCAGAAACACAATGAGAAAAGAGAACATAAACAAAACACGTAAAGTCAGTGTTGTCTGGCTACATATATACAGTATTATATAATTTATTATCATAGTCCATGGATTTTGGAGGTTACTTTCATAAAAAAGTAAAAAAATAACACCAAAAGTTTAATTGATGTCTAGCTATGCGTTTTTCTTTCCTCACACTTTATCAAATTAACACTATTTCAAAATTTATTTAAAAAAATAATAATAATAATAAGATGTCAAGATTTAAATCTAAATAATAAATTAGAATAACACATTTTTGCTTTAACACATATATTACAAAGTCAAATTCTTAAAAGGAAAATAATATTTTAGCGTGTAATTAAAAAAAAAAATTGAACGCTGTTGATTATGTTGACAGCTAATACCTGCTCGTTGGTCAGTGAAGCCAGTGTTGACAAATACAGAATCTTAATCTTGTTTTAAATAGTGACAAAAAAGAGTCTAACTCAAAATAGAAGGTATTTTAATCAAACCAGCTTCGCAAGATTTTGACGTTTTGAGGCGTTACCATGACAACTTGTCACTCGTTGATACTCACTCTGAAACGGTTATCTTCTGTTTTAATGCCAGAAATGACGACACATATTCCGTCAGGCTCTGTGTCAAGAGATAGACAGGGAAATATCACAAAACAAACGGGCAAGTTCGTGATTAGCAACGTGCTTATTATTGCGAAAGCGTGACAACATTCGAACACTGTTTACATAGCTAGAAATATGTCAGACCTGATGCAAAATAGAGCAGTTTTGGCAGTTTCCAACGGTCGCTTCCACGGCAACTTGCGCCATTTTGGACTGGTTGTCTCCCGGCATCATGGTAGTATACTCGGGTCCATCAAATACATTAAATAGAGTGAAAAATGACCACAGTTTCCCGAAATCACATACTCAGATTGTTCAAAACAACATCACATTTTCGTGTGTTCCACGTTGACCAAGGACCCAAGCGGGGAGGACCCAAGGGGAAGCTTATTTAATGCCTGTTGTAAATCTAAAGATTGTTGTATAAGATTTTTTGCATCGTTACAATAACATCATAATTTATGCATGTATTCGAATATATATAAATGTACAAAATTTTAATAGTGTATGCGTATTTTTTTTTAGCTAAATATACATTTGTAGAGCCCGGATTATTTTTTTGGGCAGGCATTTTAGGGGCGGGTACGATGTAAATCTACAATTTTTTAAATTATTATTATGTTTTATGTGTCAGCAAAAGTAAGAGAGTCATATTCTACCGGGCTCCGTACGTAATATTTCACATACTAACGAAAAAAAAACCCATAAAGTAACTGTATTGAAAATACATGTGTTTATATATATTAAAAAACACGAGTAAATGTTCAGCAGGGCCGCGATTTGAGCTTACTGTCTCTCTAAATATAAAAAAAAATGTAAGCGCTTTAGATGAAACCTCTGGAAAATTTTGAGTTAGTAGCTTAGTGTTTTAAATTAGGATTAGTGAGAACAAGATGCGGTTTTATTCTCGCTATTCTGAATAGCAGTTTATCCTCAGGTGTGGTGCCAAAAACTTTAAAACATGCTGCTGTCCAGCCCCTCCTGAAAAAACCTAACCTTGACCCCTCAGTCATGTCCAACTTCCGGCCTGTCTCCAGACTCCCATTCACCTCTAAACTACTGGAAAAAATTGTGGAGTCTCAGTTGAAACAGTTTTTGGGGGATCACGCTATCCTAGAGTTATTTCAATCTGGCTTCAAATCTCTCCATAGCACTGAAACTGCTCTACTGAAGGTTTTTAATGACATTTTCATATCCACAGACGCAGGTGATTCTGTGCTGCTTGTCCTATTGGACCTGACATCTGCTTTTGACACCATTGACCACAAGATCCTCATTTCTAGACTGGAGCAGTGGGTGGGCATCACAGGGTCAGCCCTTAAATGGTTTGGGTCCTACCTCTCTGACAGAACCTTCTGTGTCAATAGCAAAGATTTTAGTTCGGCATCGACAGCGCTCCAGTGGGGGGTACCGCAGGGGTCCATCCTCCGTCCCCTTCTCTTTTCTTTATACCTGCTGCCACTAGGTGCTATTTTCCGCAAACACAACATACCCTTTCATTTCTACACCGATGATTGCCAAATTTACTTCCCCCTGAGGCACAGAGGCACACGCTCTATTCAGCCTCTTCTTGACTGCCTGGCTGACATCCGGGACTGGATGGCTTTAAACTTCTTAAGCTTCAATGAGAAGAAGTCTGAAGTCATGCTGTTCCATCCCAGTGGCTCACTCATGAACCATGACATTGACCTTTTCTCTCTAGCCCCGCTAGAGAAACAAAAGGTCACTAATCTGGGGGTGATAATGGACCCGTCCTTAAAACTCAACAGTCACGTAAACATGATGGTCAAATCCTGTTTTTTTCAGCTGAGACGGCTGTCTAAGCTGAAGCCTATACGCTCCAAAAAGAACCTTGAGACAGTGATCCACGCCTTCATAACATCTAGGCTTGATTACTGCATTTCACTTCTGTTTGGAATCAGTCAGTCCTCCATTGCTCGTCTACAACTGGTCCAAAATGCTGCAGCCCGATTTTTAACTGGTACAGGCTATAGAGAGCACATCACGCCAGTTTTGGCCTCCCTGCACTGGCTACCCATTCTCCTTCGGATCCAATTCAGAATTCTCATGTACGTTTTTAAATCACTGAACAGTTCCGCCCCATCCTATCTCACTGATCTTCTGCAGCCATATGTCCCACCGCGCTCTCTGAGGTCAGCAGACCAGATGTTTCTCTCAGTCCCAGAAACCCGTCGTAAGCTCAGAGGTGACAGGGCTTTCTCTGTTGCAGGTCCACGACTGTGGAATGAGTTGCCACTGAGTGTCCGGCAGGCTCCCACACTCTCAGTCTTTAAGTCTCGCTTGAAGACCCACTTCTATTCTCTTGCCTTTAACACGTTGTGATTTGTTTTGGTCTGGTCTGTTCTCTACACTGTTGGCCATTTTAGTTAGCTTCTGCTGCTATTTGTATCTGTATTTTTATTTTACGTTTTCCTGTCTGCTGTGCATGTTTGTTTTCTTTTGTACAGCACTTTGGTTGGCCTTGTTGCTGTTTTAAGTGCTCTATAAATAAATTGGTATGGTATGGTCCGGTAACAAGCTGTACCGCTACTTGTGCAGCTTTTTATTGGGACAGTGCCTTGTTCCTGGAAACTTACACATCTGAAGCAAAACGCTGATCAAGATTCTCAGTTATCCAGGACATGGTAATCCAAAAAAGATTACAAACAAAACAACTAGACTTAAAGTCCGGTTGTTTTGTTTGTAATCTTTTATTGGATCTGAAGTAAAAACAAGGTTTTGACCACTTTTGTATGTCCATTTAAAAATGTGCAATAGTACTTAGTACCTTCCCTGGTGGTCTAGTGGTTAGGATTCGGCGCTCTCACCGCCGCGGCCCGGGTTCGATTCCCGGTCAGGGAACGTAATATTTTATTTCTTTTTTTTTCCACAAATCATTTTGCTTTAACCATAAATAAATAATAATAAAAACGTTTTGTGGTTGACAACAAGAAGTATTTCATAAATACAAATCACTACTGATTATTGAATTCTCACGCGCTATAGGTATTATTCAACTTCTGCCGGTAGAGGGGGATGTTATACTAGTTTAAACCATTTAACGCCCATTTCCTTTTCTCTTGCTGCACACTAACACATCACCACAGCAAACCTTTTACATTTGGCCCGATTATGAATGAGAATTATGAATCCTATGCAATTAGACATAAAAACATTAAATTGTAGTTAATTTAGAGAAATAAAAATCAGCTATATTAACTTTATGATCATTTTAAACAGCATGTTTTAGCCTTTTCTCTAATAGTGCAGAGCAAAACAACTTTTCCTCATTATCCCTTGACTTTTTCTGCACAAACAGGTCAAGATATTGTCTGCAGCCGCCCATTCAGACATGAACTCAGCAACAGGAGATCTTCTGTGAGACTAAACAGCTGAGAAGCATCAAGGTTGAATGAATGAATGAATCTGTCAGTAAGGATGATGATGATGCAGATAAACATGCCAAACAGCAAACAGGCTGCTGATAGATAGATATTTGCACACATCGCTGACTAATTGCTCATCCAGATTGTGTGCAGATAAATTAAAGACATTAGTGTCCGTGAGATCAAGGCTTGGTAACCCTGTCATACACAGAGCTGTGTTTTTGTGTAATCATCTGGAACCTTCATTGTTGTGGATATTACCAAGCAGATCTGTATTTATGTGGTTCTCACTGAGACTGAGGACAAACTCAGATGGATAACTTATTCCAGTTAGATCAATGACAGTCAATTACCACTATACTTCTTAAAGTCTCATTTTAAACTTTTACTTCTAAAAGTTAGATTATCGTGGATTTATTTCCCCCTTGGTGTCACGCAGGCTTGAATTGTGTGGCAGCAAGTTTTGTCGCGGTAGCTGAGTGGAAAGTTTGTAGGTGCATCCTGATGGAATGATAATAGGCCTGTAACTTCAGATGAACCTTTCTGTCTGAGTGCTGCCTCCAGGCTAAAGAACCACCTCTTTCCAAACAGATGCAGTTCAGAGATAGCCCTGCTCCTTTAAAGTCGGAAAGGTGAGTGCTGTGTAAGCTTTCCATCTTCCTGTCTGTCTCTCACAGATAATCTGTTTGTGTTACCGGACATGAGAAAGGTAACATTTTGGATGTGGCCAGATTTGTATCTCTCACCTTTGTGATCTACAGGAAGCCTTTGTCTGATATGTATCTGTGTATTTAACATTTTAAAAAGTTAGTTAATTTATTTATTAGAATAAACATGACAAGTTCTTATTTATACTTATAGTGTATATAATGTTCTGCTACACCCATCTACTCCAGTTGAAGGCCTCAGAACTGTACCCCCAGGATTACAACAATAGTCATTTTGTTTTAACCAAGAGCGTCTCTCTGACTAGTAATAAGAAGACTGAAGCGAGGAGCCCAGACCCAATATGTCATAAGTGTTGAAATGGCTAATACCATGTTGGCATTGCTGTTAGTCAGAGCCGTGGATTAGGTGTTGCACATCACTGCACACTGAAGACTGGCTCTTAGCTTCAACCTGCAGTCCTGAAGGAACCTCATTGTTTCACAGTATGCTCTGCTGCATGATCAGAGATAGCTCTGTGTTGTTTCTTTCAAAATGTGTTAGGCTATAACATGTTGCGCATCAGCCACACAATGAAATATTTGTTTTTTTTTAAACCCTGGATCACTATAGTATTTTCAGATACAGATTTCCCCAAGACCAACAAAAAGGCAGTGGACACAGTTCACTAATTCTTTGCCACATGACCCTTCATAAACTTTATAAAATAAATAAATCTCCTTGTAGCTGTTATTTTATTTGTTTCATGTTTGCTAAAATTGTTGGATTTTTCTTACCTTTGAGTTTACATTAAATGACTACACAGTCACTGAGAATACATTTCACCCACCTTAGCAGGTGCTTATCAGAAAACGCTGACACCAAATTTAAAGATCCTCTTCCATCATTTTCCTCTGTCATGCAGAGGAATACATCAGAGCGCAGTGACTTAGATCATCTAATTGATAATTTTACAACTACTTTGCAAACTTCACTCAATAAAGCTGCTCTGCTGAAAAAGAAAATAATCAATCAGAGGAGATTAGCTCCTTGGTTCAATTCTAATTTACGTACTTTAAAACAGACATCTAGAAAGCTGGAAAGAAAATGGCACTCCACTAAAGTTGAGGAATCTTTCTTATCCTGGAGAGATAGCCTGCTAACGTACAAAAAAGCACTCCATAAAGCTTGAACTTTATATTATTCATCTTTAATTGATGAGAATAAAAATAACCCCAGGTTTCTTTTCAGTACCAGCTAGTCTAATGAAATACCCTATCTCTGTTGATTCATGTATCCCTACAACTATAAGCAATGATAACTTCATGAGATTCTTTATAAATAAAATTGTTTCAATTAAGGGAAAAATTCAAACCAACATTCCTAGTATTACCTCTGGTTCTGTGTCAGATGAGACAACTTTAAAAATGTCACAAGAACCTGATTTATGGTTGGACTGTTTATGTCCTGATGAGCTCTCTGAATTGTCAGTAATAATAACTTCATCCAAACCATCCACCTGTCGGCTAGATCCCATCCCAACCAGACTGTTTAAAGATGTATTTCCGTTAATTAATAACCACATCTGCTTAATTTGTCTCTAATAAACGGTTACATACCATGTATGTACATACCCCCCATTGAGTAAGTCAAGCCAACCTGTTCCCCCCTTGACTGTGGTGACGCTGCACCAAGAACTACTGAAGGAAACGACACAAAAACCTCTGAAGAAGACACTTATTCTGGAAATAAAAACAAAAACGGAGTGGCATCAAAATTTAGTGGTTTTAAGATTTCTGTTTTGTAATTTTTCAGCAATGGACTCAGCATGAGCAGAAGATGAGACAGAAGACCATGGAGAATGTTGTTTTCACACAAGGTAATATAATAATACGACCCTGTATGAGGTCAGAGAAATGTGCGCTGTAGTCCACTTCCTGCTTTTGGAGCAGTCTCTGGTCCACTTGCATTCAGTGCATTCGAACCGTGCTAGAATTCACTTCAACCGAACTGAAACCTAGGTATTTAGGCGGACCAGAGTTAGCTTTTTTGGTCCGCATCAGAGTTTGATTGCACATTCACACCTCCCCAAACGAACCGGACTTTCTAGGCAAATGGACTAGAGTTTGATTAAAGCGGACTAAACAGGGCTGGTGTGAATGCACCCTTACTACAAACATGCCTTAAAGACATAAAAAACTGGATGACCTAATTTTGTCTGTTTTTGAACACAAACAAGACTGAGGTTTTAGTTTTTGGACCTGAGCATCTTAAGAATTAATTTTTTTGTCTTTCGCTGTCCTTGGATGGCATTAATTTGGCCTCCAGCTCTAATGTTAAAAATCTTGGTGTTATTTTTGATCAGGACGTGTCTTTTATCCCCCACATTAAAAAGTTACTAGAACCGTCTTCTTCTAACTGCGTAATATTGTTAAAATTAGAAACATCTTATCTAAAATGATGCAGAAAAACTGGTTCATGCATTTGTCACGTCTAGACTGGACTATTACAATGGTTTATTATCTGGATGTCCAAATGCTTCTTTAAAAAGTCTTCAGTTGATCCAAAATGCTGCTGCCAGAGTCTTAACTGATCATATCTCTCCAGTTTTAGCTTCTCTCCATTGGCTCCCTGCCAAGTCCAGAATTGAATTCAAAATGTTACTTCTAACCTACAAAGCTCTCAACAACCTAGCTCCATCTTATATTTGAGCTCTTATTGCTCCATATTCTTTTAACAGAACACTTCACCCTCAGACTGCAGGCTTACTTGTGGTCCCTAGAGTTTCCAAAAGCAGACTGGGAGGAAGATCTTTCAGTTATCAGGCTCCTCTCTTGTGGAACCAACTTCCAGTTTCTGTCTGTGAGGCTGACACATTGTCCAGTTTTAAGACTGGGCTTAAGACTTTCCTTTTTGACATATGCTATAGTTAGGGTTGGCTTGTTATGCTATCTTAAGCTTAGATTACTAGAGGACAAATTGACCTGATTTCCTTAAATGAATTGTTAAAATTGAACAGTTTTCATTTTATACTATTTCTATCTTAGCATGTGATTGTTGACCTGCCATTGTGTATCTGTTCCTCTCAAACCCAGCTGGTTGAAGAAGCTTCTCCTGAGCCTGATCCTGCTAAAGGTTTCTTCCTCATGAGAAAGTTTTTCCTTTCCACTGTCACCTTCATGCTTGCTCAAGATAAGTCTGTGATGGAGTTAAACTCAAAGCAGTCTGCTCCTCAGATAAATCAAGTTAAATTATTATTTTATATATATGAATGTTTCTGTTCAGTGCCCTGAGATGACTTCTGTTGTGACTTGGCGCTGTATAAATAAACTGAATTGAAACTGAATTAAATTGTAATAATTGGATCATTCATTGTACAATTCCATTGTATCTATCATAAAGGGTTAGTTCAGATATTTTTGAAATGGGGTTCTTTGGAAATCCATCCATCCATCCATTTTCTTTACCCGTTTATTCCATTTTGGGTCACGGGGGTCGCTGGTGCCCATGTCCAGCAATCACTGTGCGAGGGGCGGGGTACACCCTGGACGGGTCGCAAGTCCATCACAGGGCCACATAGAGACAAACGAGACAAACAACCATTCACTCTCTCACTCACACCTAGGGACAATTTAAAGTTACCAATCAGCCTAACATGCATGTTTTTGGTCTGTGGGAGGAAACCGGAGTACCCGGAGAAAACCCACGCATGCACGGAGAGAACATGCAAACTCCACCCAGAAGGCCCCTGGACCGGGGTTTGAACCAAGGACCTGCTTGCTGAGAGGCAGCAGCTCTACCAGTTGCGCCACCGTGCTGCGGGTTCTTTGGAAATGTGTACAAATTATATCTTACCTGTAGTAGATGTAGCTCGTTGAATTACTTTAGTTTGGAGAAAAACTAAGTTCAGTTCTGACTGGATTGATAAGCTCATGGTTAGCCCAAGACCAAAATGGTTTGTTGTTATCTTTAAACAACTCCCATTAAAAATGTTCACAGCAAATCACGAGAGGGTTACATTCCATGTCCCAAGAGCCAATTTTAGTAAGTCAGGGTCGAGCGCCAAGATCCCTGCCTTTGGCCACTGCCCATGGCATCATGCACCAGTCTTTTATGGCCCTTCCTGCAGGTGGTGGGTCCACAGGAAGGCAAACCCATGCTGCTCCTTCAGGCTGAGCCCGACTGGACTCTATGGGTAGAGACCCGGTCACCAGGCGCTCGCCGACGAGCCCCTCTCCCAGGCCTGGCTCCAGGGTGGGGCCCTGGTAACACACGTCCGGGCAAGGGACACCAAGTTCCTTGTTTTTTCCTGTCCATAAAAATCTTCTGAATCGCTCTTTGTCTGACCTGTCACCTAGGACTAATCTGCCTTGGGAGACCCTACCAGGGGCAAATATAATTGTCCCAATAGCATAGATCCTAGGATCATTCAGGTGCACAAACTCCTCCACCACGATAAGGTGACGATTCAAGGAGGAGTAGTTTTTTTAATAATTTCTCTTACTTACTTTTCATTTTATATGCTTTTATATGATTGTCTGTACCTCATCTGTGTTCTTATGAGTCCTCGGGGCTCAATGAAACTAACCTGTATAAATAAAGGTTGAATGAAAGTCCCAATGGTGAATTCGGTCTCAATGTTTGTTTGAGGGGAAAAAAAAAAAAGAACTTTGAATAAATATATCAGGTGTGTTTAAAATGTTTAAAATAGAGAATGTACCTTGTGAGTTGTGGACAGACAATAAAATGAGACAAGAACTAGAGTTAAGGCATGTGTTTAAATTGATAAACCTAGATTACAGTTGTTAAATCTCAAAGGTACAAAGCTGAGTAATAAAAACACAGAAGTTTAAAGCACCAGTCGAGTCCATATGATGATGGTGACACTAATCACATGTTGAAAGGCAGACAGGCTCTGATGACAGAACCAATCCCACTTAAACACATCATCAGAACAAATTCAGCTGAGGAGATTACATTTCCATCCTGAGCCGTTTTCCATTTAGCACGTATCCGTTTACAGTTTCAAAGTTGATTCTCTGTGGAAGATGAAATTCAGTCACACAGAATGACATCAGCTGACTCAGCTGCAGCTGCGTCGCTGGCACGACTCACTTTTCTTAATGCTTTTTGGTTTAATTTACATATACTGTAAAAAGGCATAAAGCAACAGAAACAATTCATCACCTGCCAGTTGGTTTTGACCAGTGACTTTTTAAATAACACACATTAATGGTTATTATCAAAAAAAATTCAATTAACAGTTACATTCTCACCTAAATTAAACACATTTATTTCCCTAAGCAGTTGTGGGTTTTTCATTACATAAAAAAAAAAAAAAATCCAATACGCAATATTTAGCTGGTTTAAAGTGATGTATTCATAAGGCTTTTTAACATAGTCTTCCAGCAAATAAATAAAACAAACAATACTGTACACAGGTAACACAATTTTTAGTATTTTTCCTGAATCTTTAGAATATCCCACTGCTTTCTGGCAGGCTGTAGCACCAACACGTATGAACGCGTGTTCACGCAACCTCTTCCTGACTCTAAATAGATCTTAAGTGGATACATTTTTATGTAGCGGTCTGTTTTCGTTCCACCTCATGTACCATGTGATGTGAATGACAATAAAGAATCTTGAACCTCGTTAATGTACTGCACTTCAGAAATTGTAGCTTGGCTGATTTTAGTAGTTTAAGCTTATGGCAAGTTTATAATTTATTACGTTGCCTTTGTGAAGCATCCCTTTTCACTGTCAGACCTCAGATGTACAATAAGAGCAGCGCAGATCAGAACATAATGTTTCTTGCAGTGTGGCAGCGTTTGAACCCTCGACAACAGCTGGATTGCTGCTGTTTGGACACGCTAGTCCTGTTAGCTGTCATCAAGTTTGTATTTCCATAGTTTCTTCTCACCGTCCTTTGCTCATTTCTGATCACATTTCTTGAGTCTGATCAGATTCTCGTATCCAGAGAATTAAAATGGGGTTGCAGCACTCCTGCACATCCACAGAGATGCACTGTTTTCAGTGCTCACCACTCGCTTCATGCAAAACATCACATTTTACCACCAAATAGAATCCTTTGACTATCTGAGCTACATGTGTCTGTGTGACAGACAGAGTCCCTCTGGATGATTAGAGGTTTGAGTTTGAACAGGAATGGCAGCACTGCTTGCCGTAGAACTTGTGGTTACAGACTCCGTGCTGGGGCACCAGGTAGCACCAGGTGAAGTAATCCCTACAGGTGAGGTCTGTGGAAGAAGAAAACAAAAGTGAACTGTGGAAGCTTGTACCTACTTTGAAGACATCCTGTAAGAGATTAGGTACCTTTCTTTTCAGGTTGTGAGCAGAAGTTGGTGTTACAGGCCTGTGATGTTGGTGGTTTAAGATGGAGGGAGCAGCCAGATGATGGTTTAGTCTGAATCTGGCATTGGACCCTCCTGCTCTGAACCCCTCCTCCACATGTTACTGAGCACTATACAAGGAGACAAGGTGGTGACAATGGAGACCTTCTGTCGATCACCAAAACTTGATGCTCGTCTAAAATAGGTCACCACTTTATTCTAACTCACCTGAGACCAGGGAGACGAGTTCCATCTTGGTGAAAGTGGAATGTGAGGGAGGGGTGCAGACGGATGGGAGTGGTGGGGTGTCCTCCATTGATGGACTGGGGGCGTTGTGCGGGTGGGACATTCAGACAGGGTGCAGGGCCTCTGCAGCTCCACTGTGGGCTTGGGAACATGGTGGCACTTTTTGTCAGTGAGCTCTCTGTATTTTCCAGCTGCATCCTTTAATATGAAAGTCAAAAATTCAGTCAAAATCACAAAAAAAAAAAAAAATCACCATAAGCTGACAGTCTGCTACCAAAAAACCCCAAACAAAACAGTTCTGTTCTTTACTTAAGAGCCAGGATTAAAAACTGTCAATTAATAACTGCCATAATGTTCACAAAAAGTTGTTCAATAATTAGAAATGACAAAATCCTACAACATTAACAAAGCAGACCTTCTCTGCACATTTGATGAGGCGAGCCTGATATCCACGGCCACACGTTGCTGAACACTGAACACCAAAAACAGAACAGAAATGATTTTTTAACACAAAACTTTATACATATCCTGTATCTCTGCCCATCTTCACCAGTGAATTTACCTGCTGCCACTGGGAGACAAACCACTGGAGCTTGCGTTGTTTCTGGCAGCGTCTGAGGAAGCAGGATTCTTGACTGGCAGGTTTCTGCAGACCTGCACACTCGCCATCAGGCAGCGTGTAAGTCTGAGCTCCTGTGTCGTTGCTCGAACACACAACAGTTCTCCTCTTCAGACCGCTGCCACACTTACGAGAACACTGCAAATAAAAAAGAGACACGACGGTGACGTGTAGTGTTAGTTCATGGTAACACACAACAGGCACAACAGGTTTTTGAGAAATTCAGATTTCTTTGAGCATTTTTGTTAAAACATCCAACATATTTACAATGGACTAATAGACAAAGGCAATGATAATATACACAATTAATAATAATTAATACATAATTACATATCAATATTTTTTTCATATCAGTGGGAATGCAAAAAGGAAAAACATTGAAATTTGTTCATATTTGGTTTTAAGAATTTAATGGGGGCCGAGATGGTGTAGAGGCAGGGCAGCCGGCTTGGGACCCAAAAGTCCCAGGTTCGATCCCCAGTCACTGCACATCACGTGGCGTCTCTGGGCAGCACGCCTCATCCCCAAAATGCCCCCCCGGCGCCCTCAATAGCTGCCCACTGCACCACCTGGTGGTGGATGGGCTAAATGCAGAGACTAATTTCGCCATTGTATGGAAACATACAGTGCTGACATTGTGATGACATTATTATTATTATTATATAAATACAATAAAATTTTAAAACAAAAGAATTGCTCTAAATTCACTTTGATATTTATTCGGTAAATGTTTTAGTTTAGCCGTTTAGCCGTTTAGCCATATGTCCCACAGCGCTCTCTGAGGTCAGCAGATCAGATGTTTCTATTGGTTCCAGGAACTTGTCATAAGCTCAGAGGTGACAGGGCCTTCTCTGCTGCAGGTCCAAAACTGTGGAATGACTGACCACTGCATGTCAGGCAGGGCCCCTTTCTCACTGTTCTTAAGTCTTACTTAAAAACACACTTTTATTCCATGGCTTTTGATGCGGTGTGATTTGTTTTTAACCTGTCTGTGTTCTACAATGTTAGCCATTTAGTTATTATCTTCTTCCATTTGGATTTATGTATAGTTTGCTGTGTGCTTTGCTTGTTTGTTTCTGCTGTACAGCACTTTGGTTGGCATTGTTGATGTTTTAAGTGCTTTATAAATAAAGTGGTATGGTTGGTATGTACAAATATTTATTAGAAATATTTGGACGTATCCAGCTTTACACATAGATTGAAAATAAAATGAAATAAACAAATGCCATCTAATCGGGGACACTGAACTATTCACATAGTTTTAAATATATTATCTTACATATATTTCCATCGTAATAATCTAATTTTATTATTAAGGGGGGCAATGCATAAGGATTAAATCACCATTCTGTTCATAATTTTTGTTGCTTTCTTGCCTTGCATTACAAAAAAACCTAAACAAAATTAACAACATGAAGATTCTCCTTCAAAATGTGCAGCTCGACTGGGAATAATGGGCTCTGTCTTTTTGTAGAGGAACATCGTACGACATAAATTTATAAAAATGGTGAGAGAATTCCCCAAACACAACCTTGAGATTTTGGCAAAATGAGTGGGAAAAAAAAAGGCCAAAACTCGAGATGCTCTGCACATTTCACAATGAAAACCTCATCCAAGGTTTGAAGAAGTCAAAGAGAATGGACTTTACATTACTGAACTGGTGTTTTGATATCGTTATTGATTTTTAAACAATCATAGTTTAAGATCAATGGTTTTGGAATTTCTTTTACACTGAATGTTCAACTGACTGTTGATGATGTCACACACCAACCTCTGAGCTGTCCGAACTTTCAAAGGTTTCTGCAAACAACATCTTACTCCCACAATGTTTTTAGAGTATTTTCAAAATACACATTAAAATGTAGACATTTTGTAGTTTTCCACTCGTGTGCCTTTCACTGCTACAAGATACACGCTTTATGAGACACCAATGCACTAAACGGTAGCACAACGTGCTGGGGAAAAGTAAAGTGGACACCTGTGTTTAGTGTAAAATGTTGGAGAAAAGTTTAACAATGAGACAAATGACCAAACATATTGTAAATGACCTAAATCAGAACAAAGAGCAAGACTCAGAGGAATCATTCGTGGTTCAGAGCGAGATGACTGATGTAGAATGTGTTCAAGTCATCAAAGCTCACGTGGAGAGAGGCAGAATGGGTAACTTTACTGTTTCTTTCCATATTTGCATTACCAGAATCTGTTCTTACATCAATAAAATGATCAGCCTGACTCGATGCATGTGTTTCTTGACATGCTTACCTGTGACCACGGCCCAGTGGTCCAAACCGGTGGACAGCGGTCCGTGTTGCAGGCCTGCCTTCTAACGGGAGCTGACTGGGCACAGCCAGAGTCAGCGAGGACATCCATGTTGGTTTGGCTGGTTCTTTGGCCACAGCGGACAAGCCGTGCCTGCTCCCCTCCTCCACAGGTCCGACTGCACGGCCCCCACTCCCCTACAGACCAGCTGGGACAACACACAACGCAACATAACACAAGCCTGCTGAGTAAACATTAGCAGCTCGTCCATCACTCATTCAGACATACGTGAAGGACTTCATGATGACTAGACATTTATAGATGCTCTACACATGGACCCCCCATGTTACACTGAAGTGGTGTTTTAGGTTTATCTGTGTGGAAATTTCAAAAATCACTAATTACCAAAACATGTTTGTGTAGCTTCTTATTTTTATTTGTGTATTTGTAATAAAACACAACACACTGAACACAAAAATATACAAAATGAAAAAAGCATCTTCTAGATGAAGCTAAATTATACGTTTAGCTCTCTTCAGGGTGCTATTTCTTAGTTTCTGACAGTGAAGTTTCTGTTTTGTTTGTTCAAACTCAGTAGAACATTATAAGTCAGCTGATCCCTGAGCCTTCACGCTTCTGTAAAGATTGTTGATTTCAGCTGACCCAGGACTTCTGGTTCAATCGGCTCAGAGCTTCATCACACACACTGACACTCTACCATCTTCCTTCAAAACACACCTTAACATCTTCTCCAAACAACCCAAATGCTCAGCTGTCAACACAATGAGCCGTACGTTAAGCCTCAGCTTTATTTTGCAGTAATTAAATACTGGAACGTTGTGTCGGGTGAGTGAGAAGAGAAAACCTTTTAAAGGTGTTATAAAAGCAGTATTCAGTCCAAACAAGTGCTACACCGATGTTTCCCAGCTCTGAGGGATTTGAACACTGAAAGTTTGCAGTTTTGGAGATGAGAGTTTTTCTGAATTGGAATTAAACGGATAAAGTAAATAAACTTTAATATTTTTGGTGCAAGATGTTCAAGTGTGTAGGAGTTACACTGTGCAGAAGAACAGAGGGAGGTTTTTGTTTTCTTGTCAGAGGCAGCAGACGGTGACAGAGAGACAGTGGAGAGAGCAGTTTTATCCAGGTACAATGGTGGAGCCAGGGATGGCCAGTGGTGGACTTTGCCTCCATAGATTAATCTTAACATACCCCAGTAATTTGAGAAAACAACTTTTAAGCAATTAAAAAATTATAAGGCATAGTTTCCTCAAATTAAAGGGGTGGTCAGTTTACACCCATTATATATATGTATATATATATATATATATATATATATATATATATAT